CTGCTCCTTCGTGTCATGCCCCAAGGGCTGCACCTGTGCTGCTTCCGCGGGCGTTGCCAAGTGCTCGTGCAAAGGTGATTGCAACGATGCCAGGTGATTGCAACAATGCCAGGTGATTGCAACAGTGCCAGGTGATTGCAACAGTGCCAGGTGATTGCAACAATGCCAGGCGATTGCAACAACGCCAGAAGCGTCTCCCTTTTCTTCCTCCTTTCCTCCCTTGATCATGATGTTACCTCGTGTCCAAGTGTGCGGTGCAGACCGGTGTAGTGTGGTCTGCTAGTGTACAAACCGTGCCCTTTTCCCCTCTCTCCTCCCCCATCTCCTTCCCCCACCAGACCCGTGCTACGGTGTCAAGTGCCCAGACGAGTCCAAGTGCGCGGTGCAGAACGGTGCAGTGGTGTGCAAATGTCCCGCTCCCTTCAAGCGCCTGATCAACAACCGGTGCTCCTCTGATGACTATCCCAACTCCGACTATCTCGATCCACACAACGCCGCCAGGGCTGCTGTTGGTGCCGTGCCCCTCGAGTGGGATGATGCAGGTGAGGGACTTGAGAGTTGACTGGATTGACTGTATTGACTGAGTTGACTGGAGGGAAACAACAGGTGCTCCTCTGATAATTATCCCAACTCCGACTATCTCGATCCACACAATGCTGCCAGGGCTGCTGTGGGCGCCGCGCCCCTTGTGTGGGATGATGCAGGTGAGTGATTTGTGGCTTGAGTAAGAAAACAACTACTGCTCATCTGCTGCTGATGTTGGGAGTATGATGTGCTTACCTGCTGATATGATATTCCCAACTCCGACTATCTATCTGGATCCGCACAATGCCACCAGGGCTGCTGTGGGTGCCATGCCCCTCGTGTGGTTAATGCATGTGAGTGGCTTTGTGAGTGACTGACTGAACCAACACAGAACTCTCCTGAGAGTCTGAGACGTCTCAAAAGTCGTCTGTGTGGATCATGAAGGTGAGTGCTGTGTTGGATCAGTCAGATGCTGGTGTGGTGTGGTGTGGTGTGGTGTGGTGTGGTGTGGTGTGGTGTGGTGTGGTGTGGTGTGGTGTGGTGTGGTGTGGTGTGGTGTGGTGTGGTGTGGTGTGGTGTGGTGTGGTGTGGTGAGTGAGAGACAGCATATGATGCCTCTCCTCTCAAACCTCCGTCCCCTCCCCAACAGTGGCTGAGAGGGCCCAGGCGTGGGCCGACACTCTCCGCGACGACTACAACTGCGGGTTGGAGCACGGCGGCATGGGGGAGGGCGAGGGGCAGAACCTCTCAGGCGCGGGTCCGGCCGGGTGGGCGTCGAACAGCGATGCAGTGCAGTGGTGGGTGGGCGAGGGGCAGTGGTACAAGCGACCCCCTGCCATCTTCCCGGGTGGTTGCATTGGTGGTGACTGGGGAAGATGCGGGCACTACACACAGGTGGGGCCCGTTTGTGGATTTGTTGACTGGTTGAGTGCGCTTGAGTCACTGCAGTGCAGTGGTGGGTGAACGAGTGCGCTTGAGAGTAGCGATTGGTGAGTGGGTGAACAAGTTTTGCTTTCTACAGCAGCCTCAAAAGTCTACTGACATGTGCCTCGCGGCTTTTGAGTCGACTCAAAAGCCACCTCGCTTGAGAGTAGCGATTGGTGCGTGCTTTCTACAATAGCCTCAAAAGGCTACTCACATGTGCCCCGTGTCTCATGCCTCGTCTACTCTCATGCCTCGTGGGCGGTGTGTGTGTGTTGGGTGCCCTGCAGGTGGTGTGGAACAACAGTCGCCAGGTGGGGTGCGCCAAGTTTTGAGACGTCTCAAATCTTCACTCTTACCTCGTGGCCGATGTGTGTGTGTGTGTGTGTGTGTGTGTGTGTGTGTGTGTGTGTGTGTGTGTGTGTGTGTGTGTGTTGGATGCCCTGCAGGTGGTGTGGAACAACAGTCGCCAGGTGGGGTGCGCCAAGGCATCGTGTGGTGAGGACAGCGACGTGTGGGCGTGCAACTACTACCCCGCGGGCAACTTTGTCGGCGAGCTGCCTTATGGTGAGCTGCGTAAGGGTGAGCTTGCAGTGCCTCATGTGTGGCATGAGGGGAAGGGGGAAGGGGGGAGGGGCTGTGTGTGGCGTTGAGAGTTCCCAAGGACAGCGACGTGTGGGCGTGCCACTACCACCCCGCGGGCAACTTTGTCGGCGAGCTGCCCTACAGACAGTGAGCTTGCAAGGCGACTTGTGAGACTTTTGAGACATCTGAGTCAACTCAAGGGGTATTTTTGAGACGTCTAAAAATTTCACCGTACACACGAGCTGCCCTACGGACAGTGAGCTTGCAAGGCGACTTTCAAGACTTTTGAGACTCTTGAGACTTTTGAAACTCTTGAGACTTTTGAGACTTTTGAGACTCTTGAGACTTTTGAGACTCTTGAGACTTTTTGAGACTCTTGAGACTTTTGAGACTCTTTAGAATTTTGAGACTCTTGAGACTTTTGAGTCGACTTTTAAGACTTTTTAGTCAACTCAAGGGGTATTGAGACCTTTGAGTCCAGGATCCCTGCTTCCGAGCGCTCTGCCCTTCCACGTCCACCTGTGCTGCTGTCAATGGCAAGCCCACCTGCCTGCCTGCCTCGAGTCCTCTGCTCACCTTCACCCCTCTCCCTCTTATACCACCCTATCCCCCTCTCCAGTCCAGGATCCCTGCTTCCGAGCGCTCTGCCCTTCCACGTCCTCCTGTGCTGCTGTAGATGGCAAGCCCACCTGCCTGTGTCCGCAGGACCAAGTGCTAGTCAATGGCAGGACGTGCCAAGCAGGTGAGATTTGACGTGTGTGTCATGTCCCTTTAGTTGCACCCACACTCCCTTACTCCCACTCTCCTTTTTGTCCCACTCTCCTTCTAGTCCCTTTACTACCAGCATTGCCCCAGCCCTTGCCTTCCCTCTCGCAATTCGTACGTACCAAGCTGTCGCAAGCCACCCATGCTTGCACGGCAAACACGACATGTCTCTCCCACCCATCTCTTCGCCTCTCCCCAACCCCACCAATCCCATGCATGCAGACCCGCGCTTGGGCGTGGCTCCCTGTCCCCAGGAACGATGTGTGTGATGGGGTGATTGTTAAACTCATTCAGAAGCCATGTGGCTTCCCCACCCATCTCTTCGCCTCTCCCCAACCCCACCAATCCCATGCTTGCAGACCCGTGCTTGGGCGCGGCTCCCTGTCCCGGGGACTTTGTGTGCGTCGGAACATCGGGTGCGGCCAAGTGTGTGTGTCCCAAGGGGACCGTAAAGATCGCACCCAACACATGCCAGGGTGAGTGCTGTGCTGCCCTGCCCTGCAACTGCAGTGTTTTCAGGCCGCTTATTAGAGATATACTTTTTAGGCGCCTCAAAAATATGATGCTGCTGCAGTGTTTTGAGGCCGCTTATTAGGGATATTTTCCTTTTCACTTCTGCCTCTGCTTCTGTCGCCATCCATTTTAATCCCTGCACTGTCCCCTAAATAGCCCTCGTCACCCCTTTCCACCACTCTCCACCCCTCTACCCCTCTCCACCCCTCTCCACCCCTGCAGCCCCATCGTGCAAGGGCGTGAAGCGCCCAGCCTCTGCCTGCTGCAGGGCTGACAGCAACGGCATCCACTTCTGACCCCCTAACGTCCCCTAATTACCCCTTTCCACCCCACCCCACCCCACCCCTCTCCACCCCTGCAGCGCCATCGTGCAAGCGAGTGAAGTGCCCAGCTTCTGCTCGCTGCAGGGCTGACAGCAACGGCATCCCCTTCTGCGCTTGCCCTGCCTCCCAATCCCTCGTCAACGGTGCATGCACTGAAGGTACCTTACTCTGATTCTGGTGCATGCACCGAAGGTACCTTACTCTGATTCTGGTGCATGCACTGAAGGTACCTTACTCTGATTCTGGTGCATGCACCGAAGGTACCTTACTCTGATTCTGGTGCATGCACTGAAGGTACCTTACTCTGATTCTGGTGCATGCACTGAAGGTACCTTACTCTGATTCTGGTGCATGCACTGAAGGTACCTTACTCTGATTCTGGTGCATGCACTGAAGGTACCTTACTCTGATTCTGGTGCATGCACTGAAGGTACCTTACTCTGATTCTGGTGCATGCACTGAAGGTACCTTACTCTGATTCTGGTGCATGCACTGAAGGCACCTTACTCTGATTCTGGTGCATGCACTGAAGGTACCTTACTCTGATTCTGGTGCATGCACTGAAGGTACCTTACTCTGATTCTGGTGCATGCACTGAAGGTACCTTACTCTGATTCTGGTGCATGCACTGAAGGTACCTTACTCTGATTCTGGTGCATGCACTGAAGGCACCTTACTCTGATTCTGGTGCATGCACTGAAGGTACCTTACTCTGATTCTGGTGCATGCACTGAAGGTACCTTACTCTGATTCTGGTGCATGCACTGAAGGTACCTTACTCTGATTCTGGTGCATGCACTGAAGGTACCTTACTCTGATTCTGGTGCATGCACTGAAGGTACCTTACTCTGATTCTGGTGCATGCACTGAAGGTACCTTACTCTGATTCTGGTGCATGCACTGAAGGTACCTTACTCTGATTCTGGTGCATGCACTGAAGGCACCTTACTCTGATTCTGGTGCATGCACTGAAGGTACCTTACTCTGATTCTGGTGCATGCACTGAAGGTACCTTACTCTGATTCTGGTGCATGCACTGAAGGTACCTTACTCTGATTCTGGTGCATGCACTGAAGGCACCTTACTGTGATTCTGGTGCATGCACTGAAGGTACCTTACTGTGATTCTCAAAGACTCTGACTGCGCGTGAACCAGGTCTGAAACCCATTCAATCCTTGGTTTGGTACTGAAAGGAAACTTCAAACTGGCTTCAATTTGCCCCTCTCCTCCGGTACAACTTCCCTCTTCCCCTCCTACCTTTTATGCCCCATCCACCCACGGTCACATCCACTGTCACCCTTACCTCTCTCTCTCATTCCCCTCCCCCCTCCTCGTCTCCCCTTTCCCCTCCCCCACTTGTTCCCCCAGCCGGACCCCCCACAGTCACCACCAGCATCGTTCTCTTCAATCGCGCCTCCTTTGCCAATACTCCCATTGTGCTCCGAGGCCCCATGCCTGACACTGACGATGCTACCGGCTGTGTCAACATCCCCTCCTCTATGGCTGGGGCTGTGCGTTCCCTGAAGATTTTATGGGATGCGCCTGATGGGGCTACGGGGGCGAGGGTGACGTGTGGGCTCATGTGGTTTTGGAGTGACGCGGATTGCTATGGGGGGGCGCCGGGGTGGGGCCGACCCGACAACAATGTCACCATTGCCAAGTGAGTGTGATCTTATTAGGTGTATTGTAAGTGGTAAGTTTTATGTGTCATGCTTGCCTGCCTTTTTCATACACGCTCCGCTCATGCTTGCGCTTACACAGTGCAGCATTCTAGCTACTGGTTTTCTGATTTACCCCGACTTTTTTGTTTTCTTACCTATTTTCTGTTCCTGGTTTGGTATGTTTGCCTGTATCTGGACCCACATTAGGACCACAGACGATGGAGTTGCCTCGGTGCGAGCTATTAGCTGCGTGTCATAAAATTACCAGTCATTGGAGTTATTTGAGCTTTCTATTTGTATAACCGTTGATTATAAGATATCCATGTCTATTAGTGTCTATATTCAGTTTGCCTGTTTTTTTAGCGTTTTTTCTATAAGATATGTGCAACCGGAAGATACGCGAAAGGAGTGACTGTTTAAAGGGTCTTTCTGGAAGAACTTGTTCCGTGCCCTCACAGACAAAGTCCTCGACTTCTCCGCGCTGCGGCATTCTAGAATCTAGATTCTAGTCAAGTTACCAATTTCGCTTCACGTCCCAAACTTTCTGTTCCTATGCTGACCTGTGGCTCTCTTTTATTCTGGGTTAGGTACCGATGTTAATCTGTAGATGTTTCAAACAGACACGCACTTGGAATTTGTTGCCCCGGTTTTCCAAAATTAACATTGTTTCGGTAGTCACGCTATGGCTGATCCTGACGACGCAGTTGACTTTCTTGACTCCTCCAAGAGTTCGAAGCCTCCTCGGGAAGTCGCCACGAGTCAACTCCAGTTCGTCGGGTCTTTTGAGTCAACTCAAACGCTCGCTTCAAGAGATTTTCCGTCGAGCGTTCCGGCGGCAGGAGCTGCATCGTCTCAAGAAGGCGAATTCGTTAACGGAGGTGGTTTAAAGTTCAGTAGGACGACGGAGTCCGAAATCGTCCCAGTTAACGTCTCAAAATATCTGTTCCCGATTTCGGGTGCGTTCCCGCAAGAGAGGGCATCGTGTGATGGTTCCGGTACAAGCCTGCCCGACTCTGACTGGCTGACAAATCCGTCTTTTTCCGCGAAGCTTCTCCCGGCTGCAGAGGCTGCTCGGCGCGCAGCAGTGGAAGCTGCAGCTCGGCGCGCAGCGGAAGGGCGGAGAGAAGGGGTTGAGGGAGAGGGGAGTGAGGGAGAAGGTGAAGAGGAGGAAGAGGGCGACGAGGGAGAGGGGGAAGAGGAGGAAGAGGAGGAAAGAGAGGGAGAAGGAGATGGGAGAAGGAAGAGGAGGGTTAAGGATGGCAGCGGTATTCCCGAGGGTGGGAGAAGGACGGGGGAACTGGATGGCAGTGACTATAGCGAAGGGGATGAGAGGGATGGGGCGCGGGGTGTGAGTGTATTTGAAAGGGAGGATAGTGAGGGTACAAAGAAGAAGAAATCGAGAAGTGAGGAGAAGGGGAAGGAAAGGAAGGAGAAGGGACGGGAACGAGAGGAGAAACGAGAGAGAAAGAGCAAGAGTCGGCATGAGAGGAAGAAAAGAAAGAAGAGGAAGGGAGGGAAGGGAGGTTCTCCTACTGACAGTTCTGGGAGTGACAGTAGCGGAAGTGGTGACTCTAGTGAAAGTGAGAACGAGGAGGAGAGGAGGGAAAGGAGGAGGAGGCAGAGGAAGAGAAAGGAAGAGGAGAAGAGGAGGAGAAAGGGGAACAGAGAAGCGGAGAAAATCCAAAGAATGGTGGCGGGGAGTGAGGGGAGGGGGCACACAGGGGGGGCAGGCATGGGCATGGGAATGGGGATGGGTGGGATGGGGGTGAGGGTAGGGGTGTTAGGGGCTGGTGGGGCAGGGGGGAAGGAGTATGTTGTTGATGCCAGGGGCGACCGGGACAATTATGCCTTTGGCTCGCTGTATAGGTGAGTGAGAGAGTTTTACTGGTAAACATGGGAGTGTGGATGTGAAAGCGGATGGTATGGGGTGTGGGGAGGGGTGACAGGGGCTGCCGGTGCAGGGGGGAAGGAGTATGTTATCGATGCTAAGGGCGACCGGGATAACTGCGCCTTGGGCTCATTTTTTAGAATTCTCAAAATGTATCGGTGAGTGAGAGAGGTTTACTGGTGAGAGGCATGCAGGTGAGGGGAGTGGAGGTGAGTGGTGCAGTGGTGAGAGCAACAGAGGTGAGTGGTACAGTGGTGAGAGCAACAGAGGTGAGTGGTGCAGTGGTGAGAGCAACAGAGGTGAGTGGTGCAGTGGTGAGAGCAATAGGGGTGATTGGCTCACAGGTGGGACCATGGGAGCATGCATGAGGGGATGCATGACGTGAGAGCATGTGGATATTGGAGCATGCATGAGGTTTTTCTGCCTTTCTCCTTCCTTTCTCTCCCTCCCTCCCTCCCTCCCACACCACACCCCTCACAACGTCAGGTTGAACCTCGCTCGCTATATCGCCCATCCCACAGCCGCCACAGCAGCTGCCTCCCTCCGCCTGTCCTTGTCTGAGGCATCTCAAAGCCCTCAAATCCTGCCCCCACCACTCTCCCCCGACCACATCAGGTTGAACGTGGCTCACTATGTCGCCCATCCCACAGCAGCCACATCTGCTGCCTCCGCCTCCTCCCCCTGGGCTCTCGCCTTTGGCGCTGCCGGCTCCCCCTCCCCCATCCCTGTCCTCCGCGCCCCTGCGTGGCCACCTCTCATACGTCTCAAAAGCCATCAAGCTGCCGAAATACTGAGAGGGTTCTCAACGTCCTTCCTTCCTTCCCTCCCTCCCTTCCCCACCACTCTCCCCCGACCACATCAGGTTGAACGTGGCGCGCTATATAGCCCATCCCACAGCCGCCACATCTGCTGCCTCCTCCTCCTCCCCCTGGGCTCTCGCCTTCGGTGCTGCCGGCTCTGCCTCCTCCATCCCTGTCCTCCGTGCCTCTGCCTGGGCCGGCCTCAAGTCTTCCAAGCACACAAAGAGCGCGGGAGGAGGCGGAAGTGGTGCTAAGTGGCTGGAAGGTGCGGATCTAGGGTTTGGGATGCGGAGTCTGATGGAGCCCGAGTGGGATACGGTTATGGGTTCGGTTTCTGCTGCTTTTGCTGCACAGGGGGGAGGGGGAGATGGGGGCGGAGCGGGGGAGGGGAAGGGGGGAAAAGGGGGGAGGCCGTCGGGAATTGGTGCTTCGGCAGCCAATCGGTATTGGTCGCCCTGGAATGCCGTTTCCGAACAGAGCAAGGGGGTTCGGAGGGTGCGGTTCGGGAAAGGGCAGGTGCGGGGAGGGGAGGAGGAGGAGGGAGAGAAGGAGAGGAGAACAGACGAAATATACCTTCTAGTTCTGGCTCAGCTGCTCCTGCTGCTGCTGCTGCTGCCGCTCCTGCTCCTGGTGCTCCTACCACCTCGTTGCCGTACAAAATTGGGAGATTCGCATCGGAAACAGACCCAGGGGCTGATGGTGAAGAAGGAGATGAAACGGACAGTTTTCTTCCCCTGGAACCTCCCGTTCCTCCCCTATCCTCCACCACTGGCGCTCACAAACTCACAGCCGCTGCTGCTGTGAGAAAAAAGCAGGGAGAAGAGGGGAGAGGGGTTGGTGAGGAGGGGGTGGGGGGTGTGGGGAGGAAGGAGGAGGAGGGGGAGGAAGAGGGGGAGACTTGGGATGAGTACGTGTTTCGCCGGACGAGGGAGTTCAATGAGGACACGAGGCGCCGCCCGCTGGACGAGCAGCTGTGGCTGCGCTTTGTCTCTTTCCAGGACGAGGCGGCGACCGGCGGCGGCGGTGGGCGGCACCGGGCGGCGGTGCTACGGCAGGTGACGGAGAAAAAGGTGGCAGTGTTGGAGCGAGCACTGCAGCACGTGGGGGAGAGTGAGGCGGTGGTTCTCACTTATCTGCACACGTGCAGTGGGCGGTGAGTGGCTGTTGTACTCTACACCTTGTGGTGAGTGCACTACTGGTGTGGTGACCTTGCTCCATGGTTGAGAGAGAAAAAGGTGGCAGTGTTGGAGCGAGCACTGCAGCACGTGGGGGAGAGTGAGGCGGTGGTTCTCACTTATCTGCACACGTGCAGTGGGCGGTGAGTGGCTGTTGTACTCTACACCTTGTGGTGAGTGCACTACTGGTGTGGTGACCTTGCTCCATGGGTGAGAGAGAAAAAGGTGGCAGTGTTGGAGCGAGCGCTGCAGCACGTGGGGGAGAGTGAGGCGGTGGTTCTCACTTATCTGCACACGTGCAGTGGGCGGTGAGTGGCTGTTGTACTCTACACCTTGTGGTGAGTGCACTACTGGTGTGGTGACCTTGCTCCATGGTTGAGAGAGAAAAAGGTGGCAGTGTTGGAGCGAGCGCTGCAGCACGTGGGGGAGAGTGAGGCGGTGGTTCTCACTTATCTGCACACGTGCAGTGGGCGGTGAGTGGCTGTTGTACTCTACACCTTGTGGTGAGTGCACTACTGGTGTGGTGACCTTGCTCCATGGTTGAGAGAGAAAAAGGTGGCAGTGTTGGAGCGAGCGCTGCAGCACGTGGGGGAGAGTGAGGCGGTGGTTCTCACTTATCTGCACACGTGCAGTGGGCGGTGAGTGGCTGTTGTACTCTACACCTTGTGTTGAGTGCACTACTGGTGTGGTGACCTTGCTCCATGGTTGAGAGAGAAAAAGGTGGCAGTGTTGGAGCGAGCGCTGCAGCACGTGGGGGAGAGTGAGGCGGTGGTTCTCACTTATCTGCACACGTGCAGTGGGCGGTGAGTGGCTGTTGTACTCTACACCTTGTGGTGAGTGCACTACTGGTGTGGTGACCTTGCTCCATGGTTGAGAGAGAAAAAGGTGGCAGTGTTGGAGCGAGCGCTGCAGCACGTGGGGGAGAGTGAGGCGGTGGTTCTCACTTATCTGCACACGTGCAGTGGGCAGTGAGTGGCTGTTGTACTCTACACCTTGTGGTGAGTGCACTACTGGTGTGGTGACCTTGCTCCATGGTTGAGAGAGAAAAAGGTGGCAGTGTTGGAGCGAGCGCTGCAGCACGTGGGGGAGAGTGAGGCGGTGGTTCTCACTTATCTGCACACGTGCAGTGGGCGGTGAGTGGCTGTTGTACTCTACACCTTGTGGTGAGTGCACTACTGGTGTGGTGACCTTGCTCCATGGTTGAGAGAGAAAAAGGTGGCAGTGTTGGAGCGAGCGCTGCAGCACGTGGGGGAGAGTGAGGCGGTGGTTCTCACTTATCTGCACACGTGCAGTGGGCGGTGAGTGGCTGTTGTACTCTACACCTTGTGGTGAGTGCACTACTGGTGTGGTGACCTTGCTCCATGGTTGAGAGAGAAAAAGGTGGCAGTGTTGGAGCGAGCGCTGCAGCACGTGGGGGAGAGTGAGGCGGTGGTTCTCACTTATCTGCACACGTGCAGTGGGCAGTGAGTGGCTGTTGTACTCTACACCTTGTGGTGAGTGCACTACTGGTGTGGTGACCTTGCTCCATGGTTGAGAGAGAAAAAGGTGGCAGTGTTGGAGCGAGCGCTGCAGCACGTGGGGGAGAGTGAGGCGGTGGTTCTCACTTATCTGCACACGTGCAGTGGGCGGTGAGTGGCTGTTGTACTCTACACCTTGTGGTGAGTGCACTACTGGTGTGGTGACCTTGCTCCATGGTTGAGAGAGAAAAAGGTGGCAGTGTTGGAGCGACCGCTGCAGCACGTGGGGGAGAGTGAGGCGGTGGTTCTCAATTATCTGCACACGTGCAGTGGGCGGTGAGTGGCTGTTGTACTCTACACCTTGTGGTGAGTGCACTACTGGTGTGGTGACCTTGCTCCATGGTTGAGAGAGAAAAAGGTGGCAGTGTTGGAGCGAGCGCTGCAGCACGTGGGGGAGAGTGAGGCGGTGGTTCTCACTTATCTGCACACGTGCAGTGGGCGGTGAGTGGCTGTTGTACTCTACACCTTGTGGTGAGTGCACTACTGGTGTGGTGACCTTGCTCCATGGTTGAGAGAGAAAAAGGTGGCAGTGTTGGAGCGAGCGCTGCAGCACGTGGGGGAGAGTGAGGCGGTGGTTCTCACTTATCTGCACACGTGCAGTGGGCGGTGAGTGGCTGTTGTACTCTACACCTTGTGGTGAGTGCACTACTGGTGTGGTGACCTTGCTCCATGGTTGAGAGAGAAAAAGGTGGCAGTGTTGGAGCGAGCGCTGCAGCACGTGGGGGAGAGTGAGGCGGTGGTTCTCACTTATCTGCACACGTGCAGTGGGCGGTGAGTGGCTGTTGTACTCTACACCTTGTGTTGAGTGCACTACTGGTGTGGTGACCTTGCTCCATGGTTGAGAGAGAAAAAGGTGGCAGTGTTGGAGCGAGCGCTGCAGCACGTGGGGGAGAGTGAGGCGGTGGTTCTCACTTATCTGCACACGTGCAGTGGGCGGTGAGTGGCTGTTGTACTCTACACCTTGTGGTGAGTGCACTACTGGTGTGGTGACCTTGCTCCATGGTTGAGAGAGAAAAAGGTGGCAGTGTTGGAGCGAGCGCTGCAGCACGTGGGGGAGAGTGAGGCGGTGGTTCTCACTTATCTGCACACGTGCAGTGGGCAGTGAGTGGCTGTTGTACTCTACACCTTGTGGTGAGTGCACTACTGGTGTGGTGACCTTGCTCCATGGTTGAGAGAGAAAAAGGTGGCAGTGTTGGAGCGAGCGCTGCAGCACGTGGGGGAGAGTGAGGCGGTGGTTCTCACTTATCTGCACACGTGCAGTGGGCGGTGAGTGGCTGTTGTACTCTACACCTTGTGGTGAGTGCACTACTGGTGTGGTGACCTTGCTCCATGGTTGAGAGAGAAAAAGGTGGCAGTGTTGGAGCGAGCGCTGCAGCACGTGGGGGAGAGTGAGGCGGTGGTTCTCACTTATCTGCACACGTGCAGTGGGCGGTGAGTGGCTGTTGTACTCTACACCTTGTGGTGAGTGCACTACTGGTGTGGTGACCTTGCTCCATGGTTGAGAGAGAAAAAGGTGGCAGTGTTGGAGCGAGCGCTGCAGCACGTGGGGGAGAGTGAGGCGGTGGTTCTCACTTATCTGCACACGTGCAGTGGGCAGTGAGTGGCTGTTGTACTCTACACCTTGTGGTGAGTGCACTACTGGTGTGGTGACCTTGCTCCATGGTTGAGAGAGAAAAAGGTGGCAGTGTTGGAGCGAGCGCTGCAGCACGTGGGGGAGAGTGAGGCGGTGGTTCTCACTTATCTGCACACGTGCAGTGGGCGGTGAGTGGCTGTTGTACTCTACACCTTGTGGTGAGTGCACTACTGGTGTGGTGACCTTGCTCCATGGTTGAGAGAGAAAAAGGTGGCAGTGTTGGAGCGACCGCTGCAGCACGTGGGGGAGAGTGAGGCGGTGGTTCTCACTTATCTGCACACGTGCAGTGGGCGGTGAGTGGCTGTTGTACTCTACACCTTGTGGTGAGTGCACTACTGGTGTGGTGACCTTGCTCCATGGTTGAGAGAGAAAAAGGTGGCAGTGTTGGAGCGAGCGCTGCAGCACGTGGGGGAGAGTGAGGCGGTGGTTCTCACTTATCTGCACACGTGCAGTGGGCGGTGAGTGGCTGTTGTACTCTACACCTTGTGGTGAGTGCACTACTGGTGTGGTGACCTTGCTCCATGGTTGAGAGAGAAAAAGGTGGCAGTGTTGGAGCGAGCGCTGCAGCACGTGGGGGAGAGTGAGGCGGTGGTTCTCACTTATCTGCACACGTGCAGTGGGCGGTGAGTGGCTGTTGTACTCTACACCTTGTGGTGAGTGCACTACTGGTGTGGTGACCTTGCTCCATGGTTGAGAGAGAAAAAGGTGGCAGTGTTGGAGCGAGCGCTGCAGCACGTGGGGGAGAGTGAGGCGGTGGTTCTCACTTATCTGCACACGTGCAGTGGGCGGTGAGTGGCTGTTGTACTCTACACCTTGTGGTGAGTGCACTACTGGTGTGGTGACCTTGCTCCATGGTTGAGAGAGAAAAAGGTGGCAGTGTTGGAGCGAGCGCTGCAGCACGTGGGGGAGAGTGAGGCGGTGGTTCTCACTTATCTGCACACGTGCAGTGGGCGGTGAGTGGCTGTTGTACTCTACACCTTGTGGTGAGTGCACTACTGGTGTGGTGACCTTGCTCCATGGTTGAGAGAGAAAAAGGTGGCAGTGTTGGAGCGAGCGCTGCAGCACGTGGGGGAGAGCGAGGCAGTGGTTCTCACCTATCTGCACACGTGCAGTGGGCGGTGAGTGGCTGTTGTACTCTACACCTTGTGGTGAGTGCACTACTGGTGTGGTGACCTTGCTCCATGGTTGAGAGAGAAAAAGGTGGCAGTGTTGGAGCGAGCGCTGCAGCACGTGGGGGAGAGTGAGGCGGTGGTTCTCACTTATCTGCACACGTGCAGTGGGCGGTGAGTGGCTGTTGTACTCTACACCTTGTGGTGAGTGCACTACTGGTGTGGTGACCTTGCTCCATGGTTGAGAGAGAAAAAGGTGGCAGTGTTGGAGCGAGCGCTGCAGCACGTGGGGGAGAGTGAGGCGGTGGTTCTCACTTATCTGCACACGTGCAGTGGGCGGTGAGTGGCTGTTGTACTCTACACCTTGTGGTGAGTGCACTACTGGTGTGGTGACCTTGCTCCATGGTTGAGAGAGAAAAAGGTGGCAGTGTTGGAGTGAGCGCTGCAGCATTTGGTGGGTGGTGAGGCGCTGCTGTGCTCTGCACCTTGTGGTGGTGACACGGCTGGAGCGAGCGCTGCAGCACGTGGGACTATGGTTGTGCTTCTCACTTATCGTGCCTCCCCTCCCCTTTCCCCCTCTCACCGTTCGCCCCCAACACCTTTCCACCCAGAGATGACGCCGCCACGCTAGACGCCAAGTGGCGCGGCGCTTGGCCACAGCCCTGGCAGTGCGAATTTCTGGCAGGGCTACATGCGGTGGCAGAGGGGGCAGTTTTCAACAGAGAGAGCTACATTGCCCTGTCACACATGTGTATGCATCAACCTGAGGGATCTTGCCATCTTCCAATGCTCTTCAATGCAGCAGCAGCAGCAGCAGCAGCAGCAGCACACATCCCTCTCCTCCCCTCCCCTCTCCTCCTCTCCTTCCCCTCCCCTCCCCTCTCCTACCCTCACCCCCCTTTTTCCCCAGAGATGACGCCGCCACGCTAGACGCCAAGTGGCGCAGCGCAATTGGCCGCAGCCCTGGCAGCGCGAATCTTTGGCAGGGCTACATAAGGTGGCAGAGGGGGCAGTTCACAGGGTTCTCAGTGGAGTCTTCTAGAGCTCTTCATTGCAGCAGCAGCAGTAACAGCACTCATACCTCCCCTCCCCTCCGTTCCCCTCCCCTCCGTTCCCCTCCCCTCCGTTCCCCTCCCCTCCGTTCCCCTCCCCTCCGTTCCCCTCCCCTCCCCTCCCCTCCCCCCTCCTACCCCATCAATCCCTTTTCCTCTCAGAGATGACTCTGCCACGCTAGACGCCAAGTGGCGCAGCGCCATTGGCCACAGCCCTGGCAGCGCGAATCTTTGGCAGGGCTACATAAGGTGGCAGAGGGGGCAGTTCACAGGGTTCTCAGTGGAGTCTTCTAGAGCTCTTCATTGCAGCAGCAGCAGTAACAGCACTCATACCTCCCCTCCCCTCCGTTCCCCTCCCCTCCGTTCCCCTCCCCTCCGTTCCCCTCCCCTCCGTTCCCCTCCCCTCCGTTCCCCTCCCCTCCCCTCCCCTCCCCCCTCCTACCCCATCAATCCCTTTTCCTCTCAGAGATGACTCTGCCACGCTAGACGCCAAGTGGCGCAGCGCCATTGGCCACAGCCCTGGCAGCGCGAATCTTTGGCAGGGCTACATAAGGTGGCAGAGGGGGCAGTTCACAGGGTTCTCAGTGGAGTCTTCTAGAGCTCTTCATTGCAGCAGCAGCAGTAACAGCACTCATACCTCCCCTCCCCTCCGTTCCCCTCCCCTCCGTTCCCCTCCCCTCCGTTCCCCTCCCCTCCGTTCCCCTCCCCTCCGTTCCCCTCCCCTCCCCTCCCCTCCCCCCTCCTACCCCATCAATCCCTTTTCCTCTCAGAGATGACTCTGCCACGCTAGACGCCAAGTGGCGCAGCGCCATTGGCCACAGCCCTGGCAGCGCGAATCTTTGGCAGGGCTACATAAGGTGGCAGAGGGGGCAGTTCGCAGGGTTCACTGTGGGGAAGATCAGGGAAAGCTTCTTTGCAGCGATCCGTGCCCTGGTGGGCCGGAGGAACCAAGTGTGGCGCGAGGTGAGTGCATGGGGGTGAGGTGAGTGCATGGGGGTGAGGTGAGTGCATGGGGGTGAGGTGAGTGCATGGGGGTGAGGTGAGTGCATGGGGGTGAGGTGAGTGCATGGGGGTGAGGTGAGTGCATGGGGGTGAGGTGAGTGCATGGGGGTGAGGTGAGTATACAGGGCGTGTGCCACTTGCATTCGTGGTGGGTTGCAGCAGGGGTGGCTGAGAGTGCACGTACATCTGGTGGCAGAGGGGGCAGTTCGCAGGGTTCACTGTGGGGAAGATCCAGGAAAGCTTCATTGCAGCGATACGTGCCCTGGTGGGCCGGAGGAACCAAGTGTGGCGTGAGGTGAGTGCATGGGGGTCAACAATGAAAGAGGCACTAGCAAATGGGCGCCGTCACAGCACACAGGCGGCAGTGAGAGCAGGTACATCTAGGGGCAGAGAGGGCAGTTTGCAACATTTTTCGGTGGGGAAGATCAGGGAGAGCTTCTTTGCAGCCGTCCGCGCTCTGGTGGGCCGGAGGAACCAAGTGTGGCGCGAGGTGAGCCTCTGTGGGGCGTGTGCTGGTCGAATTGATGGTGGGTCATGGCACAAAGGGAGCAGTGATTGGGCAGCGTAAAGGGCACGAACACAAGCTTGTTCCCACTGCCTCCTCTTTTCTGCCCACAACCCTCTCCCTGCCTGCCTTCCCTTCCCACTGCCTCCTCTTTTCTGCCCACAACCCTCTCCCTGCCTGCCTTCCCTTCCCACTGCCTCCTCTTTTCTGCCCACAACCCTCTCCCTGCCTGCCTTCCCTTCCCACTGCCTCCTCTTTTCTGCCCACAACCCTCTCCCTGCCTGCCTTCCCTTCCCACTGCCTCCTCTTCTCTGCCCACAACACAACCCTCTCTCTGCCTGCCTTCCCTTCCCACTGCCTGCTTTCCCTCCTCTCCTTTCAACTTAAACACTCTTCCGTCGTTTTCATTCGTTCCCATTCTTTTCTCATTCTCCCCATTCGTGCAGCTTCAGCAGAAGCCTAACGACCCAATGAGAACCCGCCAGCTGGCGGCATCAGAAATCGCAGCAGTGGACATGCTGGTGGACTCGTGCCGCTTCGAGCACCAATCAGGGCACGCTGAGCTGGCAGTGGCGCTGCTGCAGGCCGAGACGGAGTACGCCGTCCGGCCGCCGCCCCTGCCCTTGTCCTTTTCTGAGGGTAGCAAATTGCGGCTGTTTCAGGCGTTTTGGGAAGGGGGAGGGGAGAGAGTTGGGGAGGAGGGGGGGATAGGGTGGTCTGCTTGGTTGGCTAGAGAGGAGAGGTATGGGATGGGGGGAGAGGGAGGGGAAGGGGGAAGTCGTGGGGATGGGGAGGGGAAGGAGGAGGAGGAGGAAGAGGAGGAAGAGGAGGAAGAGGAGGAGGAGAAAGGGGGTTGGACTGGATGGCATGAGATTGTGCGGAAGGGAGAGGGTGGGGGAAAGAAGGTTGTGGGGGAGGAGGGGAAGGGAGAGGAGGGAGAAGAGGGAGAGGAGGGAGAGAAACAAGGGGACAAGGATTTAAAGGGAGAGGAGGAGGAGGAAGATGAGGAGGAAGAGGAAGAGGAAGAGGAGGAGGAAGAGGAGGAGGACGAGGGTTTGTTAGAGGCAGAGCTAATGGAACGACTTAAAGCGGGAAAGGACGGTGCAGTAGGTGGTGGTGAGAGTGTGGGTGGCGCCATCGGCGGTGCTGCTGACGTGGCAGGCGAGGATTGGGTGAAGGACCCGGGCGTGTGGCAGCGGTGGGCGGCAGAGGAGAGGAGGAGGGAGAGCAGGCAATGGCAGCCAATGCGAGGTGAGACATTGAGTCATTGTGCAGAAGCAACTCTTGTAGCCGGAATGCTCAGAAACCCCGCTCACCAACGTGCAGGATGCCACGTGTAAAAAGAGTAGTTTGAGACGTCTCAAAACCACGCTCACCAACATGCAGGATGGGCGTGTGGCAGCGGTGAGCGGTAGAGGCGAATGAGAGGTGAGACCTTGTGCAGAAGCACCTATTTTAGCTGGAATGCGAATGTGAGGAGCTGACTCTCATCCCATCCACCCCTCTCCTTCCCATGCATTCACTGCCCGTCCCCCCCATCCTTCACGAGCAGCTACAGGGAAGGGCAGAGAGGAGACGGACGGGGCAGATGAAGAAGAGGAGGAAGAGTTAGTTGAGTAGTGGAGTATGAAGGTGTGAGGAGTCGACTCCCACCCATACCTCCCGTTTCCCTACTCTTTCGACTCTCACCCATACCTCCCGTTTCCCTACTCTTTCGACTCTCACCCATACCTCCCGTTTCCATACTCTTTCGACTCTCACCCATACCTCCCGTTTCCGTACTCTTTCGACTCTCACCCATACCTCCCGTTTCCGTACTCTTTCGACTCTCACCCATACCTCTCGTTTCCGTACTCTTTCGACTCTCACCCATACCTCCCGTTTCCGTACTCTTTCGACTCTCACCCATACCTCCCGTTTCCTTTCGACTCTCACCCATACCTCCCGTTTCCGTACTCTTTCGACTCTCACCCATACCTCCCGTTTCCGTACTCTTTCGAGTCTCACCCATACCTCCCGTTTCCGTACTCTTTCAACTCTCACCCATACCTCCCGTTTCCGTACTCTTTCGACTCTCACCCATACCTCCCGTTTCCGTACTCTTTCGACTCTCACCCATACCTCCCGTTTCCGTACTCTTTGGACTCTCACCCATACCTCCCGTTTCCGTACTCTTTCGACTCTCACCCATACCTCCCGTTTCCGTACTCTTTCGACTCTCACCCATACCTCCCGTTTCCGTACTCTTTCGACTCCCACGCATACCTCCCGTTTCCGTACTCTTTCGACTCTCACCCATACCTCCCGTTTCCATACTCTTTCGACTCCCACCCATACCTCCCGTTTCCGTACTCTTTCGACTCCCACCCATACCTCCCGTTTCCATACTCTTTCGACTCTCACCCATACCTCCCGTTTCCGTACTCTTTCGACTCTCACCCATACCTCCCGTTTCCATACTCTTTCGACTCCCACCCATACCTCCCGTTTCCGTACTCTTTCGACTCCCACCCATACCTCCCGTTTCCATACTCTTTCGACTCCCACCCATACCTCCCGTTTCCGTACTCTTTCGACTCCCACCCATACCTCCCGTTTCCGTACTCTTTCGACTCTCACCCATACCTCCCGTTTCCATACTCTTTCGACTCTCACCCATACCTCCCGTTTCCGTACTCTTTCGACTCTCACCCATACCTCCCGTTTCCGTACTCTTTCGACTCTCACCCATACCTCTCGTTTCCGTACTCTTTCGACTCTCACCCATACCTCCCGTTTCCGTACTCTTTCGACTCTCACCCATACCTCCCGTTTCCTTTCGACTCTCACCCATACCTCCCGTTTCCGTACTCTTTCGACTCTCACCCATACCTCCCGTTTCCGTACTCTTTCGAGTCTCACCCATACCTCCCGTTTCCGTACTCTTTCAACTCTCACCCATACCTCCCGTTTCCGTACTCTTTCGACTCTCACCCATACCTCCCGTTTCCGTACTCTTTCGACTCTCACCCATACCTCCCGTTTCCGTACTCTTTGGACTCTCACCCATACCTCCCGTTTCCGTACTCTTTCGACTCTCACCCATACCTCCCGTTTCCGTACTCTTTCGACTCTCACCCATACCTCCCGTTTCCGTACTCTTTCGACTCCCACGCATACCTCCCGTTTCCGTACTCTTTCGACTCTCACCCATACCTCCCGTTTCCATACTCTTTCGACTCCCACCCATACCTCCCGTTTCCGTACTCTTTCGACTCCCACCCATACCTCCCGTTTCCATACTCTTTCGACTCTCACCCATACCTCCCGTTTCCGTAATCTTTCGACTCTCACCCATACCTCCCGTTTCCTTTCGACTCTCACCCATACCTCCCGTTTCCGTACTCTTTCGACTCTCACCCATACCTCCCGTTTCCGTACTCTTTCGAGTCTCACCCATACCTCCCGTTTCCGTACTCTTTCAACTCTCACCCATACCTCCCGTTTCCGTACTCTTTCGACTCTCACCCATACCTCCCGTTTCCGTACTCTTTCGACTCTCACCCATACCTCCCGTTTCCGTACTCTTTGGACTCTCACCCATACCTCCCGTTTCCGTACTCTTTCGACTCTCACCCATACCTCCCGTTTCCGTACTCTTTCGACTCTCACCCATACCTCCCGTTTCCGTACTCTTTCGACTCCCACGCATACCTCCCGTTTCCGTACTCTTTCGACTCTCACCCATACCTCCCGTTTCCATACTCTTTCGACTCCCACCCATACCTCCCGTTTCCGTACTCTTTCGACTCCCACCCATACCTCCCGTTTCCATACTCTTTCGACTCTCACCCATACCTCCCGTTTCCGTACTCTTTCGACTCTCACCCATACCTCCCGTTTCCATACTCTTTCGACTCTCACCCATACCTCCCGTTTCCGTACTCTTTCGACTCCCACCCATACCTCCCGTTTCCGTACTCTTTCGACTCTCACCCATACCTCCCGTTTCCATACTCTTTCGACTCTCACCCATACCTCCCGTTTCCGTGCTCTTTCGACTCTCACCCATACCTCCCGTTTCCATACTCTTTCCGACCAACAGCAACAGGGATGGGGAAAAGGCATGAAGGGCAGGCAGAACAAGATGATGCAGAAGAGGAAGGAAAAGAGGAAGAGGAGAAGCTAGAGAGGGTGGTGGAGTATCAGGATGTGAGGAGTCGACTCTCATCTCATTCAATCCTTACTTTCTTGTGCATTCTCCCTTTCTGTCCCTTCACGAGCATCATAGAAGGGCAAGGGATGAAGAGCAAGCAGAAGAGGAGGAGGAGCCGACTCTTCTCTCTGCACTCTGAATCGATGAAGTGACTCTTTTCTAACCCGCCCCGTGCCTTCCCAATGTGTTTGCTCCCGTTCTCATGATCAGCAGCAGAGAATGGGAAGAAGGACGAAGAGGAGGAGGACGAGGAAGAGGAGGAGCTAGAGAGGGTGGTGGAGTATGAGCACGGAGTCGACTCTTCTCTAACCCAACCCTCGACTTCCCATGCCCTTGTTCCCCTTTCCCACAATTAGCAGCAGGGAAGGGGAGAAAGGACGAGGAGGAGGAGGATGAAGAGGAGGAGGAGGAGCTAGAGCGAGTGGTGGAGTATGAGGATGTGAGGAGCCGCCTCTTCTCTCTGCACTCCGAAGCAGCGAAGCGGCATCTGCTGCTCGCTGCTGCTGCCTTCTTTGATGCTCCCCTGCCTGCTTGGTGAGTGGCTGTAGTAGTGTTGTGGGTGGGTGGGTGGTGGGTGGGTGTTTGGTGATGGTGGGTGGTGGGTCAGTGAAGCAGAGTCAAACTAACAAGGTGTGCCTTAGAGGACTCACTCACATCTAGTTGGTCACACCACACCACATAATAGCCACGCCTGTGGCGAGTGAGGCTAGTGTGTGAGTGGGAGAGGCTGTGTGAGAGAGGAGGGACTGATCATTTTCGCATCTATTGAAAACTAAAAAACACCTCATTCGTTTGCCTTATGATTAGTAACGAATCGTGCTTATGAGTCGACTCATAAGTCACCCCGTGCTCATGAGGAACGCCCTCTGCCTCTTTTCGTTTGAATCAACAGGCGCAGCAGCAACGACAGCAGCTTCCCGGAAGCTTCAGAGTCGTTGGTCAGCATTCCACGTTCCATCACAGCACCATTTCGAGTTCCAACTTCCCAGCCTTGTGCTGTGGGCAGTGGCAGAGGTGAAAGTGCTGCTGCTGCTGCTGCCACTGCTGCGTCTTTGACAGGAGCAGGAGAAATGGCAGGGGCAGTGGCAGGGGGAGCAGAAGTGGCAGTGGCAGGGGAGGAGGAGGAGGAGCAAGGGAACCTGGCCCGCGGTGCTGCTGTGCTTGACGCTCTTGCTGGAGGTCCCATGTGGTTCGACCCATGGGGGAATGAAAGAGAGAGGGGAGGGAGATGGGGAGGAGGAGAGGGGGAGGAAGGGGGTGGAGGGGGAGGAGATGGGGATGGGGAAGGGGAGGAGGGAGCGGATGGGGGAAGGGAGAGGGTGTGGTTTCTGCGCAACTTCCTGGAACTTGCGTGCCAGTGGATTCCGGATGATAAGCACCTGCAAGAGGCCCTGGTTGTGACGTCAGCTGCAGCTGTAGCTGCTACAGCCACTGCTGCTGCTGCACTTCCCAGGGCACGTACACTGCCGCCCCTCTTGCCTCTTGCCTCTTGTGATCGCACTGCTACAGCCATAAGTGACACAGCAGCAGGAAAGAGGAGAGGAGGCACAGCCGCTGCAATAGAAGCCGTGCTGGAGCGAGTGAGGGGCAGGGGAGTCACACACTCTACTACCGCTGCTGCTGCTACAGCTACTGCTACAGATTTCCCTGCTACAGAAAGTCAGCAGGCAGTATCGGAACCGCACCTGCTTCTGGGCCATCCCGATTGGCCGATGTCTACTGCCTGTTTCAACCAATCACCATCAGCAGCAGGAGCATCAGGAGCACCAGCAGGATACGAGTCAGCAGCAGCCAAGGCGGTGAAAGCAGCTAAGGCGGAGGTGAAGAGGCTATTAAAGACGCGGCGGCAGGACCTGGGTCTGTGGGCTGTATATGCTCGCCTGGAAGCAGAGTGTGGCAATTTGGATGCTTCCAGGAAGGTTCTTGACACAGCATTGGCTTCTGTTGCTGCTCTCCCCAAGGTATGCTCTCTCTTCTCCTTAAGCAGGATGCGATCAGGCAGGCAGCAACAGCAGAAGCAGGAGGCAATGAGTCAGCAATATGGCGGTGAAAGCAACTAAGGCGGAGGTGAAGAGGCTATTAAAGACGCGGCGGCAGGACCTGGGTCCGTGGGCCGCCTATGCCAGGCTCGAGGCTGAGTGTGGCAACACGGATGCTTCGAGGAAGGTTCTCGACACGGCACTGGCATCCGTTGCTGCCCTCCCCAAGGTCTGAGTCGACTCAAAACACATCCATTGCTGCTCTCCCCAGCGTTCGCTGTCGGGTCATGTCAGTGAAACGTCTCAACAATTTTCTGTTCATTACAGACATCAGTAGCAGAGAAAATAGCAGATCTGGAAAACCCTTAGCGTCTTCTCTACTACTGCAGCCCTTCGAACATGAGTCAAGGTGAGTCAAGGTGAGTCAAGGTGAGTTAAGGTGAACATTTTCCGGTTCATTACAGACATCGCAAAAGTTTCCGGTATTCCGGTCGTTGCAGAAGTTTTTTCCGGCCATTATTATACCTTAGACTCTTCGGACTGACTTTCTTGACTTGTTTGGCTTCCTTGACCTGCTCTAAGATGTGTGTTGGTTCGTCTCCCCTCTGCCATGACTTCTCAACTCTTTTGATCTTCTTTCCCTCCCCCCTGCCCTCATTCCGCCCGCATGTGCTCCCACTCCTTCAGTCCGCAGCTGAAGCCATGCGTCTCCTTGTGCTTGCATACACCCACATTGAGCGATCCCCCTCTGACTCTTCCCAATCCCTCTGTCCGACATCTCCCATGCTCCCCATTCACCCCTCCGAATTCCCTGTGCTCCCTGCATGCTCCCCATTCCTCCAGTCCGCAGCTGAAGCCACGCCTCTCCTTGTGCTTGCATACACCCACATCGACCTATCCCCGACCAATCACTCCACCAACCAACACCAGAAATTCCAGCAGCAGCAGCAGCAGCCCCACCAAACTTGGCGGCAGAGCAGAAACGGCTGTTTGCAGTGGTCTATCAACCAGCACTGGCGTTCCCTCCACACTCTCGCCTCTTTCGCGGCGTCTGCCCCTTTTTCTGCCCCACCGCCACTCCCTCCGCAACTTGACCCATCTGGGCTGGAAGAGGGCGGGCGAACTACAACCCCCTCCTCCTGGGCAGTTTGTAAATATTTTCCTCAAGCTGCCCTGATACGCGCCCGGGCAGGGTTCCACTTGAAGCTGCAAGAAGCAAAGAAAGCCATCGCTGCTTCAGCTGCTGCCGCCGCCGCCGCTGCTTCAGCTGCTCTCCCCATATCTTCCACCAACCCCACTGCTGCTAGCCTTGGTGCTAGTGCTAGTACCAACCCAACACCTTTCACGTCTGCTGTTGGCAATGGGAGGCTGACACTAGAGGATGAGAGCAACAGGGCAACAGCAGCAGTGGCGGTGGTGCTGTGTGCGTGTCTCTTTGAGCTCTTGGCAGCGCCGTCTCTCCCAGAAGGGGTTGCAGCCGCTGTTGTGGTGATGGATGGGTGCATTGCTGCGGTGCTGCCTGGTCGCCGTGCCTGCTGCCTCCCCCTGGAGCTGCTCTTTGAGAGATACGCCTCGCTGCTGCTGCACGCCCTGCCAGGTAAGCACCCACTCCTCTGTTTGAGCCTCTCCTTCTGCTCACGCCTGCTGCCTTGCTGCTGCTGCGGTGATGGATGGGTGCATTGCTGCTGTGTTGCCCGGCCACAGTGCCTGCTGTCTGCCTCTGGAGCTGCTCTTTGAGAGATACGCCTCGCTGCTGCTGCACGCCCTGCCAGGTAACACAGACTCCCTCCCTTTAGCCATCTTCCACCCCCTTCCTTACTCCCACTTCCAACCACACAGCCATCCAGCCACAGTACGTGGGCAAGTGGTGCTTCATTCAAGTTACCCTCTTTCCTGTTCCTCCCCCCCAAACCCCACCCTTCTCCACCTTCCTCTCACTTCCTCTTCCCCATTCCAGCCATCCCACCGCAGCAGGTGCGGAGAGCGGTGCTGCAGGGTTTGAAGGAGTTCCCCAGCAACGTGCGCCTTCTTGGAACCTTCCTGCGGCTGGAGTCCCGCAGCGCGTTCACCAACGGCATCCGGCGCTTCTTCGACCAAACCACCGCCAGGTCAGCAACGCCATGTCAGCTGTGCCACGTCAGCAGCCAGGTCAGCATAGCTGTGTCTATCAGGTCCCCGCAAGGAACCTGAGTATTGATACCTTCAGTAGAAAGGCCTCCTGTAGAATGCCAGACTGGCTCCTACCTGAAGTTGCCCGTCTCGATTCTTGTCTCTGCTCTGATCTGGACACCCATTCTGGCTCGCAGACCATTCATGACTCTCATTCCTACCAACCTTCCTACCTTTGAAACTTGTGGGCCTTGGGGTCTAAAACATGCGGCATTCCAACCACCCTCTACCTCCCCGCCCCTCCAGGCTGTCCCACCCCTACCGCTCCTCTGGTTGCTCAGTCTCCTGGTTGAGTCGTTATGTACCTCAAAACATCTAACCCACCACCCACTCTCACAAATCACCCTCTCCCTCCCCTGCAGACTATCCCACCCCTCACCACTCCTCTGGCTGCTGTGTCTCCTGGTTGAGGTGGCACGGCCAGGGGCCCGTCCACGTGTGCGCGGGTTACTGGAGCGGGCGCTTGCGAGCTCAGCAAAGGGCAGTGGGCAATGCGTGCTCATGTGGCGGCTGTACATCGGCTATGAGCTCCACATCAGCCAGAATGCCGATGCGGCGCGAAGAGTGTTCTTCAGAGCCATCCACGCATGTCCCTGGTGAGTTTGATATGAGATGTTCGTTTTCCGTACATTTCTCGTTATGGTGCCTTTTATTCATTGTTTTTAGTCCTCCATGTGCACAGAAGTGATGCCATGTGTGCCCGTTATGATTTTCCTTTTATTTGTTGGAATGTTCTGCAGGTCCAAGGCCTTGTGGTTGGATGCCTTCACGCAACTCCATGGAATAATCAAGGGAGAGGAGCTGAACGAGCTTGCCAACATGATGAGGGACAAGGAGTTGAGGTTGCGCACGGATGTCTACGAGATCTTGCTTCAAGACGCTCAATAAGGTTGCCAAGGCTTGCAGGTTGTACGGTATGTAAAAGAAGGTATATTGTGGTACTTTTTTTTTTTGTTGCGTAACGGTTAGGATTTGTGCCTGATTTCTAAGCGCCAGGTGGAGGATTCTGGGCTGCCAGCGGGGAGGTCAAGGATTTGCGTTGGCGTATGACAGGCGATGATGCTGAGTGCTAAATCCGGCTTTCCACGTATGACATTGCCACGTGTAAGCATTGTTTCTTTGCATGCGGTTCGTGCGCCCCCAAGCAAAAATTTGCTCACTCACACGTCTAAGCTATGTTCAGCTCTTGAGTTTTGTTTCACAATGTGAGCACCCGTGTCTTGGTAACTGGTACCGGTTTAATTTTTCTCGGTTTGTCTGAACGAGTGTAAGTTTATTAGGTGTCGGGGTTCGTGTTTCTCAAGTTTTATATGCGAGACTACTGAACTCCTCAAGCTTGATCTAACTTACGCCCTCGAGTTGGTCAGCTTCATGGCGACGGTCATGAGAAGCGCTGATGTTAGCTATCAGATGTATTTGGCTTCTAAATACGAGGAAAGAAATCTGATCAGGGATTTATCTGAAACTCGCGTTCTGCAGCTGTGTCCCTTTTACCACCTTGTGCACCTAAACATTGTTGATAAGGAATATGGCGTCCGCCGTTCTTTCCCTGACCTCGTTCTCCCCGCTTTCAGCGACGAGGCTCACATGCAGACGGAATGCGGCTCAGAAGACATTGCGGCAACGACCGCTCGTCGTTGCGTCAGCGGTGCAATCCACGAAACGCACGCCTGTAGCTGAGCCTGAGAATGTCTCACGGGTAACCGCAGATCCTGACGTGCGATCGACGGCAGCGGCGGTTTTTACGTCGCTCGCGACGTTTTTCCCCGCGGCCCCTCGTACTAGCGGAGGAGGCAGTTGTTGATGCCGCTGCTGACGCTGCTGCAGTGGCTCCGGACTGGCTCGGCTACGTGTTGCTCGCGATTCCGCTGGTGGCTTATGGCGGATTCTACTTGTTCCGATCTTCGGTGAGCTCCTTTTTGTTCCGCGTTTACAATCTTCACCGCGTTTTTGTCTCGTTGTCCTAAGAACAAGACGGGTTGATGGAAGTAATGCCTCCGCAGCCCACCTGTCCGCTACTGACAGCATCTGCGGTGAGTTCCCTTTTTTCCCCTCGTTTACAATCTTCACTTAGTGGGGTGGGTTCAATTCGACCACTGAGCTGGTTGGATCAAGCAATGTGCCGTAATCTGGAACGGATGTTGTTAGTTTAGTACGCCAGGTATCCCAATGTTACGCTAGTTACCACGGGATATCAACCTGTGTGAACGGAAGGAAAATACAAACGAAAATTAGCACACCAGGTCTGTTTGTCAGGAAACCATGAATTCTTGTGTTTGTCTAAAAACCATGGCGTCTGCGTGTTTTTCGCCGTGATTGCAGGTGAACCCCAAGGCTGGTCTCTTGGACTATGCGTTCGTTCTCGTGGCGACCGTCATTGTCGCCAACATTCTGACCTCGCTCTTCCTTAAGGTACAGTGAGTTCGCGTTTTAGGAACAAGGATTTGCGTTCATCGCTCCTCCCGTCCATCCGTCGCTCCATCCGTCCATCCGTCCTTCCATCCGTCCATCCGTCCTTCCATCCATCCATCCATCCATCCATCCATCCATCCATCCATCCATCCATCCATCCATCCATCCATCCATCCATCCATCCATCCATCCATCCATTCGTTCATTAATTAAATTATCAATAGTTCCTTTTCATACGCATCTACTGGTGCGGTACAACAAAGACTGCCAGCCTTATGCTTCAGCACAGACTATCTTTGCAGAATTCTATGCACTTTTGTGGATATGTTGCGCAGTAACCTGTTACCACCACTAAATCATGCTTCCGTGTCTCATTTACTAGTGCATAAGAAACCATTACGTTTTACTTGTTCCATTCCAATTTGAGGTCCGTTGCGGCTTTTTCCCAATGTCACCCTTCAGTCATTTTTTCCAGTACATTCTCTCGCTTCTGTCACTTCTCTCGCCCTTCCTCTCTTTCATAATTCTCTTCACCTTGGTTTGTCTATGACTCCTCTCCCTCCCACCCACCCCTACCCCCTCCATCCTCCACCCAACTAACACTACTCATTTCTGTCCGCGTCTCCATCTGCCACTCTCCCCTTGGCAGGTTCGCATCTATTGATTGTTGTGGAGCTCAAATGCCACCCCTTTTTTGCTCCACAAACAAACGAGAAGCATTTAAATGCCATTTTGCTACAAGCTCCTACCGCGATAGGATGTCCATGTATTTTGCTAGTAGAACAAGTTTTGCCATAGATGGAAAATGGGGAGTATTTTTTACTTTCCAGCACCATGCTGACCAAGCTTTGCAATGCCAAGCAAGCTTGGCTGTAGCTTTTGAATAAAAACCTTGTTTTGTCTGTAAGCAGTACAAGATGAGAACCTTATGTGACACATGCAGAGTCATTGATTCTAAATACGTACTGCACTTCATTCTCACCTTTCTCTATGTTAGCCACTCCCCTTCTTGAACACACCATGCACCCACACGCGCTTCATCTCCCTACCCTTCCTCCGATTCTCATTCCGCACACAGCAGTACTCCACCTCCTTGCACTCAAACCCAGCAGCACCCATCAGCACCCGCACCTCTTCCACTGAAAAGAAGTACGCTAGAGTGCCGTCCCCTCGCTGGTATAACCGATCATTGGCACAGCGCATGTTTTGATCTGCCTTGTTCAGAGTCTTCCCGTGCCCGCTCTGCTGTGCTCCTTCTCTTCTCTGCCTCTCTTGTCCTTGCCCTGTTTGTTCCTCGCTTTCCATCCCCTGCTGCCCGTTCACGTGTTGCTGACACCCTGGCTCCTCCAGCCCTTCCCGCTCTACCGTCTGTTGCTCTTTCCGTTCCTGCTCCTGATGCTCCTGCTCCTGCTCCTGCTGTTTTTGCTCCTGCTCTTGCTTCTCCTGCTGCTGCTGCTGCTGCTGCTGCTGCTCCCGCTGCTGCTGCACCCTTTGCTGCTGCAACCGGAACATGACCATATCAAACACGCCATAGTCTCGGAACAGCAGCAGTCCCCCCGGGGCCAGTACAGAGAGTATCTGCCTCAGTGCATGCAGCATGCGGTTTGGGTGCAGCGCCGACAGAGTAAAGATGCACAACGCCGCCCGGAATTCCGGAGGAGAGGGTCCAGCCACGGGCGGCGCAAAGCCCGGTGCCGGTTCGTTGCATCCGGACGGGGGAGCCAGGCAGTGGGATGCTTGTAGGAAAGCAGATCCGCTAGATTTTCTGGATGGAGACACAGAGGGGCGTTCACTCACGCCAGGTGCAGTGAATCTGGACGAAAGTGCAGCGTGAAGGTCTTCCTGTGCCACGTCACACACAAACCCTCGGAACCGGTGCGTGGCTGTGTGCTGCCCCAGAGCGCGAGAGAGAGTGTGGTTGGTGAGGGAGACAGCTGTGGGGCTGATGTCACACGCTGCTAGGCAGATTTGAGTGGTGGCTCTGAGAGGAAAAAAAGGGGGTCGGGAGACGAAATGAGGAAGGCAGTAAGACAAACAGACAGTGTGAGGGAGACGGCTGTAGGGCTGATGTCACACGCAGCAAAGCAAAGTCGAGTGATGGCCCTGGGAGGAAAGTGGGGGAGGACAAGCAGGATTATGGGTTTCACGGGTCTTGTGATCAAGTGACAAGGGTTTAGTGTTGAATAACTGAACTTTCCACTCTAAGGGTCTTGTGATACGACTCAAATGTCCTTGGTGATCTTACGCTACCACACTACAGAACGGCCAGTGCTGAGTTTTGCGGCGCCTTAAAAGTTGAAAACTCAACTCTCCACTCCTGTGATATGCTCAAATGTCCTTCGTAAGCACAATAATCCCACTCACCGCAGGATGGCCAGTGCAGAGATGCCACTGCCGCACCCCACTTCCAGCATCCCACTCCCATCTCCTTCACCACACCACCCCGTTCACCCCACCATCCCCTTCACACTCAGATACCACAGAAACCCCACTCACCGCAAAATGGCCAGTGCTGAGCTGCCACTGCCGCACCCCACTTCCAGAATCCATGGCGGTTGGCAGGCTGGGGTGGCTGGAGATGGGGACAATGGGCCATAGCATGGTGACGACCGGTCATGGCATGTTGGCATGGGGACATCACTTGGTGAAGAGGGGTCATGGCATGGTGACGAGAGGTCATCGCTTGGTGAAGAGGGGTCATGGCATGGTGACGAGGGGTCATGGCATGGTGACGAGGGGTCATGGCATGGTGACGAGGGGTCATGGCATGGTGACGAGGGGTCATGGCATGGTGACGAGGGGTCATGGCATGGTGGGAAACGGGATGCTGCTGGTACTGGGCATTCTCCCCTCTCTGCTGCTTCCGCAGCGGCTGGTACCACCACGCGTTCTGCTAACTGTGCTTGTATCGAATCGTGCTCCTGTACTGAGTGTGACTCTAACGAGAGAATCTGGGGAAACGCGTGCAGCAGGTATCGCCGCTCCTTGAAGAACTGGGCCGTCCGATGTTGCTGATGAAACCCGTCCCAAGCCTCCGAGACAGGTTCGGCATCACAGGACCTGGCAACCACGTCTTGAGGATCTACAGTGGCGGCCTTTCTCTCGTTCTGATTGCGCCGCTGCCGGTCCTGCCGATGCTGCTGCTGATGCTGCTGATTTTGATGCTGCTGCTGCTGCTGCTGCTGCTGCTGCTGCTGTGCCTGCTGCTTCCGTTGTTGCTTTTCGCCGCCGGAAGAACTCCGGTCAGAACGACTTTCAGTGCTACCACCCCTAGCATTCACACTTCTAACAAAAGTCCCTGAACCCCCATTGACAGATGCCTCGATACTCCAGTCGGAGCAGCCTTCTGTGCGACCAACAACCGTCGCTTCTTGATCTCGCCGTTCAGATGTCGGGATGCTAAGGGCGGTACAATCCAACGGTCCACATGCTTCTTCCCACTCGAGCCGCACCTGCTCCCACTCGAAATCACGGCTGCGCATGGGTACCGTCTCAAACACCCCTCTCCCTTGCACCCCACAGCCCCCATGCGGCCTCTCGCTCACACCCTTCCCTGTGCCCCGCACTCGCACTCTCCCATAACCCCTGTCAGCTCACCTTAAAGCCATGGCCTGGCCCTGCAAGAGCCGCCAGGCACTCGCGGCCCGACCCCACCACGGTGACCTCGCAGCCCAGACGTGTGACCATACGCTTGGTCACCATGCGGTTCACACTGAGGCGGGAGGTGGGGGGTTGGGGGGTTAGAGATAGTGGGAGGCAGGCAAACGGGAAGGGCGGAATGCGTTACTACTGGCATGCCAGCACCGACCGATCCCACCACAGTGACCTCGCAACCCAAACGTGTCACCATGCGCTTGGTCACCATGCGGTTCACACTAGGGGGGATGGGAGGGGGGGGTGGGAGGAGGGGATGGGAGGAGGGGATAAGAGCAAACGATGGGGAGAAGAGGAGGATGGTGGAGGAAGGAAAGCCTTACTGGCAAAGGCAAGCAAAGGCAAGCACAGGGCTGCTATCGGCTTTCTTGAATCTTCGCGCGACGAGTGCATCGCAGGATAGTTCATGCGTAAGTGAAGGAGCGTGGGCATAAACACGCTACTAGTCTTTCAGCGGCTTCAGCGGCTGGTTGCGATAGCATGTGCGGAAAATACAGGTTTGTTGAAGTGCTTGACTCACTTTTCCTGCATTGTTTTGCTTCCCTGCTGTGTTTTGTGTATCTGTTTCCTATAATACCTCCAAAAGTTCGGAAGGGAATTAGTAAACTTCGCTGATAATGATTCGGCATTGTTATAAATACACTTGAGGAAAGCAGGGTATCCATTCTCAATCTTATAATATCCCCACCACAAATAGATGAATCTACAAATGAGTATGCAATAGGATCATGCAGTATATGTCACAATAAATTCATAAATTCATACAATCAATTATGTTTATTTTAGCCTAGATTCTAGCCACAGACGTATAACTAGAATGTCTGTGAAGGAAAAGCCGGCAGTTGAGTCCCCGGCTTTAATAGCCCCTGGCTCAGCATCTGCTGGAGCTGCTGCTGCAACAGTATATTACTCCCACTTAAATTCCCATCGCTCCTTCTCGTGCTTCCACCCCTACCACCATCAAAACCACCGCCACCAACGCTCCTCGTGCCATTCACAACCCCGCAATAAGCACTTCCTTCTTCGGCACTCCTAGCCCTCCTCTCACTCGCCTGGGTTGAACAAATCCCTCTCTCTTCGGACGAATCACCACGTGACATGTGTACCTGCCCACTGTAGCTGTGGTGCTGTTGCTGCAGTTGCTGGTGCTGCTGATGATGATACTACTGCTGCTGCTGCTGCTGCTGCTGCTGCTGCTGCTGCTGCTGCTGCTGCTGCTGCTGCTGCTTCTGCTGCTGCTGCTGCTGCTGCTGCTGCTGCTGCTGCTGCTGCTGCTGCTGCTGCTGCTGCTGCTGCTGCTCCTGCTGCTGCTGCTGCTGCTGCTGCTGCTGCTGCTGCTGCTGCTGCTGCTGCTGCTACTGCTGCTGCTGCAAAACCCCTTCTCCGTTCACACTGGCACAAGTGCTTGTGCTCATAGTCCTGGATATATTCATTACAGAAGCACTCATTACCATATCCTCAAGCCCTCCCAACCGTCCCCACGCCCCTGCCTCCTCCATCACAGCATCTTCCTCGTCCTTCACGCGCGAGATGGACGGTCCAGATGCTACCCCAGCTGCCACGTGTCCTGATCCTACAGCAGAGGGAATTAGTGGTACAGGACACTTCGATATCCCTTGCATCTGAAGTTGCCCTTGCTGCTTCCCTTGCTGCTGCTGCCATTGCTGCTGCCCTTGTTGCTGCTGCCCTTGTTGCTGCTGCCCTTGCTGCTGCTGCCATTGCTGCCGCAGCACCTGATGCAACTGTTGCATCTGCTGCATCTGTTGCCCCTGCTGTCCCTGCCGCTGCGCCTGCCCCTGTCCCTGCCCCTGTCCCTGCCCCTGCCCCAACAGTTGCTGCAGCAGCAACGCTGCTCCCCTCTGTTGAAGAGCCCTCGCTGCACTCACTGCATCCCCAGAAGCACCTGCACCAGAAGCACCTGCACCAGAAGCACCTGCGACTGAAGAAATAGCTGTACCTGCAGGAGCAGCAGCGGCAGCGGCAAACGAGGGAGAGGAGAAAACAGTGGCAAGCAGAGAGGCAAGCAGTGCCGTGTTGATTTCCATCCCAGACTTGCCAGGAGAACCCTGCGGTAGATTCGGCACCTGGGGCACCTGAGGCGCCTGAAGCACTGCCTGAGCCACCTGAGCTGCGTTGGCCTTGATTTCGGGCGGAAGGGGAGCCTTGGAGCCATTGAGAATACCATTTCCCACAGCAGTATTCGTGGTCGTGTTACCACTATTAGCAGCAAGAGTAGCAGGAGCAGCAGCAGCAGCAGCAGCAGCAGCGGCAACAGGAGAAGAAGCAGAAGCTGTAGCAGGAGCAGTACAGATCCCTGCAAACCCTCCAAATGGGAGCTTCACCTGTAACTGTTGCTGCTGTGGCTGCTGCTGCTGCTGCTGCTGCTGCTGCTGCTGCTGCTGCTGCTGCTGCTGCTGCTGCTGCTGCTGCTGCTGCTGCTGCTGCTGCTGCTGCTGCTGCTGCTGCTGCTGCTGCTGCTGCTGCTGCTGCTGCTGCTGCTGCTGCTGCTGCTGCTGCTGCTGCTGCTGCTGCTGTTGTGGCTGCAGCTGCTGCTGTTGCAGCTGTTGCGGCTGCCTCTGCTCCTGCTGCTGCTGTTGCTGCTGCAGTGTGGGTGCATGTGCAAGTCCCTGTGCCTGTGCCTGTGCGTGTACATGCGCCTTGATTCGTGCCTGCGCCTGCATTTGTGCCTGAAGTTGCTGCAATAGGCCCAGCGAAACTGCCATCTGCTGCTGCTGACTTTCCTGTCCCTGCTGCAGTTGTTGCCCCCCTGTCACTCCCACACAAGAAGCTTCACCAGCAGCCAAACCTGCACCCGAACCTGCTTCCGAACCTGCTGACAAAGCTCCTGCCGAGGCAACTGCCGAGGCAGCCCCCGAGGCTGCTGCCGAGGCTGCAATGACCGAGACAAGAGCAGCTGGCGGAACGCCCGAGCCTGTGGTGGCAGCAGCGGTGAGAGCTCTGAGTAGCAGTTGCTGCTTGGGATTGTTTGCCGGGTTACTGAGCATCTGCCTCTGCTGCAGCAGCCGATTCAGCGCCACTGCTGCTGCCATTTGCTGGTTCACGCCTGCTGCGCCCCTCTTGCCCCCGATTAAGCCTGATGCTGATGCTGCTGTTGCTGCTTCTCCTCTTTCCCCCTTCACCACTCCTCCCTCCTCAACCGCCTCTCCTCTTCCACCCCCGGAAGGGGGAGCAGCGCGGAGCAGCGGCTGGTGGGGGTGGAAAGGGGGAAGCTTGAGGAGCGGACTGGGGGAGGTTGAGGGGGAGGAAGAGGGGATCAATGGGGGGTTTCCGGGCGTGGTGGGGGGAGGTGGTGAGGAAGCAGGGAAACTGACAGCAGAAGCTGGTTCAACGTTACTCGCAGAAGCATCTGCTGTAGCCTCACAGCGAGCATCAGAAGGATGGGCGTCGATCAACCCCTCCCTAGCTGCACAATCTGACGAGTCTTCACACAGTGTGACTATATCGAAGGGTACGTCTAACGGGAGATCCGCGAACATATCTTCTGGGAGATCTGGGAGAAAATCTGCGGACGAGATTCCCGAGATCTCGTCCAGATTAACCTCCGACATGAAGATCGGCAGATCTAGGCCCTCCATTTGTGTCAGATCGAACGTATCCAGCTCGTCCCGCTCTCCCACATCGTCCATATTTTCGTTACAAGCCCCATCCGCAACTCTCTCCTCCCCTTCTGTAACGGGACCGCAAAAAATCCCCGTTTTGGTCACACCTTCGCAGTGCTGAACGTCCACCATTGATCCGTCCGTTACAAGCACACCTCTCGAATCTCCCTCCTCCAACCCATTCACCAGACTCGCTAAATCCGCATCCGCTTGTTCCAATAACGCGGGCATTTCTTCCACTTCGCCCGCCCCATTCTCGCCACCACGAAAATCCACAACTTTTCCATTTTTGTGACCAGCCAACCCATCGGTATCCTGATGCAACCGCATCCGATCCCATTTCGCCTCGCCTCCTCCGCCACCATTTCCAGTGTAGTAATTCTGCCCCTCTGGAGAGCAGCTCTGTACTTTTCTTCCTGCCCGTCCCTCCAATCCATTGCTTCCGCTCCAGTTCCCAATCTCAGCGACTGTGCTTGTATCGAGAGCAGCCGCCGGCGCGGCTCCCGTTGCTGGAAGATTCCGGAGCCCTCGCGAAGGAGAAATAACAGTCGCCGTCAGATCTGACGGCCGCTTCAAACCGGCAAACCTGCTACCGGTTTCGATCTGATTGCCGCTGCTGTTTCCGTGTTGTAGCAAGGGTGCGACAGGATCTGCGGGCGACGCGAGCGGAGGCAGTGTGATATCACGAGCGTAAACGGCGGAGGTCTGAGCGCCGTCGCGGCAGGACGCGGAGCGGCAGAATGACGAGGCGGCGCCGCCGCCGAAGCCGCCGGCGGAAGCGGAAACGGAACTCGGAGGAGACGCGGAGCCGCGCGAAGCGGAGGGGACGGGCGCGGAGGCGGCAGGAGCAGATGCGTTGCGCGGAAGTTGATTCGAAGCGGCGTCGCGCGCTTGCGCGAGGATCTCTGGCGGAGGGGGGTGTGGCGGTAGTAACAGCTCTGGCGGATAGTCTGCGGAAAATATGATGTTAGCGTGGATGATATTTCTATCACTGGACCAATCACGAGCGAGCATCTGCGGCTTCTCCCTCTCCGCCCCGACGGTGGAGCATCGGCGGAGCGCGGACGCGGCGGAAATGGCAGAAGCGGCGGAAGCCGCAGCGAAGGGGCTGTTGGAGGGCGACATCCCAAAAATGTTCGAATCGGATTCGAACCCGCTGAAGCTGCCAAAATTCCCGGCTGAAGTCCCGGAAAGCGCGAATGGGGTTCCGCTGACTATGGGAGATGCGGACGGGCTGAGGCGGCTCGGCGTAATCCCGCCGCCGCCGCCGCGAGAGGCGCTTTCGCAAATCGACGAACCAGCCGTGTTTGCGCGCTGCAGGCGGCGCGACCGGCCCGCGAGTCCCGCCACGCCGGCCGCAGGGGAGCGTCGGAATGATGGGGGGAGCGGAGCGCAGAGACCTTGCGCGAACTGTAAAGGGGCGTTTCCGTTTCCGGCGCCCATGGAGAAATCATTGGCGGTTGAGGGCGGCTGCGCGATAGTGTGCGCGGGGCCCTGCGCGGAGGAATGAGCAGGGGATTGCGCTGCGGGAGGGAGAAGAGAGGGGCCGCGGAGCGCGCGGGATGCAGAGGGTAACCGCGGGGGCAGCGGGCATAGCAAGTGATTCTGCGACGTAGAGGAATGCGAAATGGCAGCAGCGCCTGCTGCTACTGTTGGCCCATGATTGCGTGCTGCTGCGTGCTTCGCGGCGCGCGCTTCGGGCTTTTCCTGGAGATGCGGCGACGTCGGCGGAAGCGGCGGTGGCGATAGCAGAGCGGCGCGAGGGTCGTGCAAAGGCGGCGGCGGCGGAAGGAGGTCGGGGCGCAACCGCTTGTACGACATCATGTCGAGCATCTCCATTGCGATAGTATCACAGCTTGATAGTATCACGGTCGCTACTCAGTATCACGAATGGCTTGTACTAAGCTGGTCTAAGAATCTCCCGAACAGCGGGTCCGCAAGCGACATTAAATCGTGCTCGAAAGTCGTTACTGCGACAAAGCTTCGTCTTGAAAATGCATTTCCACGATAACAGAGACTCTGGTTGACAACGCGCTGCGTAGTAAACTGTGACTGATGCAACGGTCTACTATACTTGTAGGCGGTTCCTCCGTGCTACTTAGTGAAAAAACTCCCTCGTCCACCTATGGCTCGCCGCCGCAGATGTCAGGAAAGGAAGGTGGCGAAATGCAAAGAAAAACGCGAGCAACACGAGACGACGCGTGTCCTTGCATAGCGGTGACTTCCGGCCAATCTCATCTGCTTTTCTGTGCCCTCGCGATGTACGATTCTGCTATGTGTAAGAAACATCACTCGCCCTCCTCATTTCCCGCTTATCCAGAGCAATAAGATACATCCCTTGTGTCCCAGTTTGGTTCCAGTGTAACCAGTTGGAGATAACATATCATCATGCACCATGCCTATCTTGCTCTTGATATTCCCAAGCTGGCCAACGCGTCGTGCAAGCTCATGCACTGTACATCTAGCTCTCTGCAGAGTGGCAATGATGCAGTCGTGGTATGAACGACGCAGGCACCGACAGGCGATTCCAGCAGCCAGCATGCGCCAGTCCGCCATAGGAGCTGTCTCGTCAACACAGAAAAGGTGGTGCTGAGCGGCATTTAGCCAAATCCAGCATTTCGAACCAGATTCACACGGCGATTGTGGGACTGCCCGTGAAATAGAGAATCCAAAGCGAGATCCTTCTCTCTGCTCACACGGTTTCACCCCGTCGGCTCCCTGTGGGATGCTGGGTGCCATTCTTTTCTCGATCCAATCTGGTTCACTCGTTCTTGAAGTCCCCTTTTCGCCAGCTTTCAAGCCAGGAAATGCAGTCTAGCATCGCAATTCGCCCAGCTCACCATGAAATCCCCAGGCTGTTCAGAAGTGGAGAGGAGATGGTCAGTTGAAGAAGGACTGGCCACGCGCAGCTCGGACTGCAAAACAAAATATATTGAGCATTTACCCCAGAAACACAGTGTCGTCCGGACACACTCCAAACAAAATTCTGTCATTCAGGATCGCAAGCTGGCGGATGTCCCGAATTCTTGTATTGCTGGCGAGGCGAACTCCGTGCTGCTTGCGTGTGACTGTCTGCGAGCAGAGTTCGAGCATGTGAATTGTTGGGGCTGGGTGACACAGACTGTAGTACCTGTGGTCCCTCCTCTCTGCAGTCATGAAACAGAACCGAAGAGAAGGGAAAAAAGGGTAACGAAGTGAGAAACTGTAGTGTTCCACGCCGTCATGTCCTGGGATGCTGTGCTCGGGGCTATTCCAAAACAATCAGCACAATCGTGAGTGCACGTTTTTAAAGCAAGAGCATTCACCACGAAAAAATCTCGTTTCTCAGGGCGTGTCCGACAAGGACTTCTAAATGCGGTTAAAAAGGGCTTATGACTCGGTCATTTTACGGATTAAACTGGTTGGGTAGGGAAGTTTTTGACCCAACCCTAAACCCCGATCACAGTTGATTTCATAGAACTTGGCCGGCTACCGCGAACCTACAATCCGTGGAGTAAGGTGATGGCATGGAATGGATTGAAATGTTTGCGTCAGAAGGGCTAATTTCTCGTTTTTAGAGATCCGGATGCCTTCCTGTCCCCCCGCATAAAAAGACGTATTCTCCTGAGGTGTACCCTACAATCAGTATGTTTCTGGAAAAGCAAACTCTCACCAATCGAGTCATAAAAGGTGCAAAGTGCGACTGAATGCCCCTCTGACACAAAGATGACGAAGGACTCCGCAAATTCCGGTTAAAAATACTTGCACTGAGGAGTTGTTTTTTCCGCAGTTGTGTTTCTGTCAGATACGCATCCATCCGATTCCGGCAAGGAGGCTTAGGATCATTGTCACTCTTAAGCGTCCAGATGTCTCTCAAAATTATCCTGAATGTCTCCGGATGATTGTGAAGTCGTCCCCCTTAAAATCCTGGTCTCAGACGATAATACCCGGGATGTTTACGAAATTCCGGATGCGCACCCTGCTACCGTGAGCCAGAAGCTTGACATGACACTGGCGAAGGGCAGGTATTCCTACATCGAGTGAGCCCTCGTTTATGCGCGGGAATTTGTGAGCTTGGGTGTGAATTTGGGGGTGCCAATCGCAATCTGCGTTCTGCTGTTCTGTACTGACCATCATTTTTGTCAGCTGTTTTCAGGGCAGCTCCACCATCCCCACCCCAGATGCATGTGGTTCGCATTTGTGAGAGGCTGAAAAGGCCACACTACGCTACTACCCGCGGCTCAACAACTACTCATTCTAGCGGAGAGTGTTGTTGCGTGCTTGGCGGAAAGGAGCCTGGTGGCAAAAGGGTAGAGTGGGGTTGTCGCCTACCACAGCTAGAATTCAACACGTCATCCATAAAAGCAACAGGTTACAAGCGTAGCTTGCCCATGTTCAGAGCAGGTAGTTCCGATCGGATTGATTTCCAAACCACAGTTCACAAAGTTGTCTAAAAACAAATGCTCAGTGCAATGTAGTTTCTTTCAAAGACCAGCATTGCAAATAACAAAAATGTCTCTGCATTCGCTATCTTCCTCTTGTTTGTGTGGGTGCGGTTGTTTGGTCTGCCTGAACAACTGCCGACCGAACTATGAAGAGCCACCCAATCAGGCGATGGCACCTCGTCAGAGTCAAAACAGTCGTGGTATTCGATACAGACATCTTCAATGGTTGTTATGTTCACATATCTAAACTCGACATAGTATGACATCCTTGTTCAAATTCCACTTCCAGTCAAAGTACATAATTATTGCGAAGTCAAAGTCCCGATAGACAATGTGCCCAAGATAGTGTTGGAAACAATTAATTTAACGCTTATGAAGTATCGAGGTATCGACACGAAACGGAGCAGACTACAGTGAAGCAACACGCGAGTCAACAAAAGTAACAGCTGGAGGTTACGCGAAGGTCAAAGGTCAGCGAGCTTTGACTCGACGAAAAATACAGCGGGACAGCAAGGACAAACAACTGACTCGACATTGAGCAGTTGCCCGAGT